TCACTGATTTCCCACACTTAACCAAATTTCCAGATTCTGAATTTTTCCAAAAGTGACTACTTCCAATTTCAAGCTTCTTCTTATTCATTTTAAATTGTCAGAGTTACACAATTAAAACGAAATTACATATAAACCCCTCATAGAACCTCATTATAAAGTCAACACAAAGTCATAGGCTCTTGCTTAACCTATCATTTTCCGAGTCGTTACAGTTAGTACACCAAAAACAATTTTCAATGGCAAATAATCAATGATAATGACTTAATTATTGCTAAATATATATTTTTAGTGGTAATTAACACTTTTTGTAAATGTCCTTAAAGCCTGTAGCGACATTAAATCTAATGATAATTAATTAATATCTATAAATTTTTTAGCATTCTTTATTAATATGTATATTTCTCTTTCATTCTTGCAAAAGCCATAATGACTAATTTCATCCCAAATAAAATACGAGAGTTTAGCAATCAGAAATTCAAAGCCAAACTACTTGTATCTTTAAAAATATAGATATAAGACCTATGACAATCAAAAACTCAACACAAAACAAAACCACCCGTATCTTTAATTTTTTATTTATTAAATATAAAAATACACACGCCGGAGGAAAATAGATGAAGAAATTAAAAAGAACCACACATACTCCATAACAATAATTTAAAAAAAAAAAACACAAAAACATAATGTTGCTTTATTTCTAGCTGTAGCCTGCAGTATCCATGCATCTGACTGAGTCCTATTACTTCTTCACAAGCCACACCTCCTTTCTTTCTTTGAATCCCATAGCAAGAAAGTTGAAGGCCCTGATCATAAGCAAGATAGAGTACATATTAAACAACATGAATAAATGAAGTTATCAGCATGTAAAGATAGTACCTTTTTTATATACTATAGAAATAATTTAACTTAAGCTTTTTTTATTTTTATTTTAAAAAAAATTCAAAGCGGAGGAAATTAATGGGTTAAACGAGTGGGTTTCAAAAAAATTGATATCTAAAATTTGGGGTGAATCATTTGTTTTCGGGCTTGCCACATTTTCTTTCGTTAAAATTTAGGGTAAATTTTTAAGATGGATATATTTGGATAAAAAATATAACTGAAGGATATATATAGTATTTCTAATGGCATAAGGCATGAGCGACTCAAATACATCAGTGGCCTAAAGTCATATTCGAATGAAGGCCTAAATTTTAATAATTTTTTGATAAAGTATACTATAGCATTTTTATTTAATTTTTTTTTGAGACATAATATTCTAAATTGTTCAAACTTGTAATTACTTATTTTTTTCCATTTGTACGGAAATTTTAGAATCAATAATTTTTCAAAACTAAGGGCAACTGCCTTTTCTTTTAGCTGTAGAGCCGCTGCCCCTTTGGTATTTGGCCCTTCACCGTTTCAAAATTGAAATGTGATAAAAGTTGGTACTTTTTTCATAAGAAAGTACCTCAAACGAGAGAGTTCGAGACCTCGTTGAGGACGAACCACACGGATGGTTGATCCCTCTTCATCAGTGAAACCATCAACGATGATCTTTGGGTAATGCACAAAGGTTTGCGGCGTCAAGCGCTGAACTAATTTCCCATTTATATGAACCTCTACGGTAGAGGGTCTCCCAAAGGACTTGTTGCGGGCAAAAAACGTATGCGCCGCCATAACCTTTGTGCTGAAGGGGTCTACTCTGATCACAAGGCTGTGGCGGCCTGGCAGTGCATAGAGGAAATTCTCTTTCAGATAGACGGGAATTTCTCCCCTGTTTTCTACCTGAACGATCACTTCAAAAAGATTAATCATCATCATGTTTAATACTCCACTAGGATCTTCTGTCTAGAAAAGTGCAGCTCGCGCGGTGAACTAAGTTTTGCTATGAGTAGCGGAGTTCAGGAAAAGGTGGGTTTATTATACACAATCTTATATCTATTTTACAACTTTTTGAATGGTGACCTTATTGGAATGTGTGGTGAAATTGATTGATGTTAGCCGTTGGTGTTGTTGATGGTAGTGGCTGAAGAATGTGTTGCGGTACTTAATGATGTGTTTGTGGTAGTTGATGCTGGTACTAGTTATGATGATGGAGGGTAGTGGTTGATAATAGTGATGGAGGTGACGACAGTAATGGTGGGACTGAAGAATGTATAGTAATAGTTAGAGGTGGTGCTAGTTGTGATGGCGAAGTTTGTTGGTGGTGGAAATTGATCGTGGTAGAGGTTGATAGTGATAGTAGAGGTGGCAGTGGCAACAAAGATGGGGTGATGGTGATGGTAGTAGTGATGGCAAATGTGGCTGGTTAGTGGTGGTAGCCGGTGATGGTGCCTGGTGGATATGATCTACACAAAATACTACTTAAATGTTTAAATATAATGAAAATAAATATACTTAATGGTCTAAAGTCTCAACCATTCGTATTCAGATTTTCATTAATTACATGCAAATAACTAATAAGACCTAAACAAAATATAGTTTTGGAAGATAAAAAAAAAAAACTCTATAAATATTAGTACACAATTAATGCGAGGAGGGCATAATGCATATTCTAATAAAAACAAAAATACAACACACAGGCCGACACATATACCCAGCACCACAATATCCGATTGGGGAGTAAGATCAAAATTAGAGAAATTGATAGAAAAGCAAGGATATGAACTCATGTAAGTAGGAAATGGGTGTTGAAGTACTTGATCTTATATAAAGGTGAGATGAGTGCTTTTAACTTGATCTTATATAAAGTATCTACTGTGGAGGGATAAGGGTGTTGAACAACTAATACATACAAATATTATTCTTTTAGTCGTATTCAGTATATCAAATTGTGTGATAATACATGAATGGATTTATATATAAGAAAATTTCTGATGTAACATCTTGTGCGTGTTCTGTGTTTTTTTAACAGCAAGCAGCAACCGGACGCTACCTGGAGAATTAATATTTGACTATGATACCTTTCAGCTTAACAAGTGTGGATTTAGGAAAAAAGCGTGAGGAAGCAAACAGCTTTTTAACATAAACTATTATTTAATTTAGCCTTATTTAATATTTATATCCTCTAATTTATATATATTATTTTATTATATATATATATCATACTTTAGAAGTGGTGGTTCCTCAACTACTACCAAACCAATCAAAAATTGCCACGTGGGGCTAATTAATATTTCTTTCTTTTATATAATATTTTCTATTTCT